GGTGGGGGGGGGGGGGGGGGGGGGGCATGGAGAGCAAAGGCTGTTTTTTAACATTGAGAAATAAAATTGATGCCGCAAATGCCAAGGAGGAGGAAGAAGTTTTGGACTTCACATCCATTGTTTGTGGAGCAGGCTGAGAGACCTAATGTTGGGGTTTTTTCCCTACATTACTGAATCAAACATCTAGTATTCTCTGAGAAGTTTTTGTAACTAGAATATATTAAGAATTAGCTTGGTTCTGTTACAGTGAGTAGCTTAATAGAGCAAGTATAATTAACGTGTGTGGTTATCACTTCAAGATAACATGTTAAGCTGTGCTATCCCGATCTACTGTTGAAGACAACTTTTGGGGATGCTGTTTTAATGAGTAATATTTTTTCCAACAGTAAAATTTAAAACATTCGTGCCCTGCATTTCTGTTTTATGAAGTGATGCAAATGTGTACTGTAAACCACATCGGGGCGGGGGGGAACCAAACAAAAACCAGTAACGTAAAACTTCAGTGTGGAGGCAGGAATGATGGGAGATGAACAGGGCAGAGGAATGCAGGATGTTTTCTTCAACACAAAGCCACTTCAAGAAAATATGTCAAAACATCCTGGAGCACAAAAATGTTTTTCTGAATTTAGAGGATGAACACTTACAGGGGCATATGCAGAAAACTTATTTCAATCAACAAAAGATAGAATTTCAAAGTGACTTTAAACTACAGCTTTGTTGAGAGTAAGATTGACAGTGTAGCATACAAAGATCTAATGCTGATTTAAAAACTAATCTGGATGTTTTTAGAATTAGCTGTATAAATTTGAACTAATTCTCACGCAAAAGGAAAAAAAGGAAAAATACTTTTCAAAGTAGTCATATTTGACATTAAGAACTAGTCATGTAGTCTTAACTCTATCTTGTATTTTTTTTTTCTAATAGGTAAAATGAAAGGACTTGCATTTGTTCAGGATCCTGATGGCTACTGGATTGAAATTTTGAATCCTAACCACATGGTGACTCTCACTTAGTTCTAATGAAGTACACTATATAGGAGATGCACACTTTCAGTCCCCTGGAGAAAATCTGTAACAGTGTTTGTGAAATTCTCGCTTAATGGAGAGGAATCAGTCGTGTTCAGAGTCTCCTCTAAAATTATCCCCTGGGACCTCAATGTACTTGAATTCCTTTTTGTTGTCCTGTGATGCCACTGCAATTTGCTTCCAATTAGGAATACTCAACCGTATTTTGGAAGAGCGCTTACACAGGTTCTCCTCTTGAACACTGATTATGTTAATATTTCAGTAAACTCTCTAAAGATATGTGACTAGAAATTCACTGCATCTCACACTGTTTAGATTTAAGCTAACAACAACAAAAAAATCCTGTGTTACTACCAATGATTTTCAACAAGGACGAAAAAACCCTCAAAACTCAGAATATTTTTTTTTTTTTCTGAAGTCAAAAGATCCAGAAGGCTTCATGCCCTATCTTGTATACTAGAAAATGCAATGTCAGCCTAACTCTGACTTGAGTAGTAGCATGTTTATGAAAGTCCTAATCTTACTTATATTATGCCAAGCAAAACTCTTTAAGGAGCAGCCTTAAACAGCCTTGCCTGGAACAAGAAACTTTGTGGAGGCAATAAATCAGTCCAGCAGAAAGAATTCAGTCTTTCAGCTTCTGGCTGCTGATTGACAGCCAAGAGAAGAGGTCTCATAGTTGCTAACTCACAGTGATCCTTCATGTCTCCTCCAACACTAGAGAGCGCTTGCTCATAATTTTTGTTTCAATGAAAGTCTGCAGCTATATTTAACTTCAATGCTCTGTACGTTCCGCATTAGGAATTTAATGAAAAAGAGTATCTGAAACAACCGTTTCCTACTAGTAGACATTTTGATCTGCCCTCTCAAAACGAGTGACGGTTACTGCAATGATACCTGTAAGTAGCAGGAAAATACATAACATTTACATATGTTACACAAATTACTTGATTTTACGTGGTTCCACCTGTTATGAACAGTGCAAAACATGTCAAGTTTTGAAATCCCATTGTTCCTTCCAACAAGGAAAAAACCCTCTGCCCTCTCTTATTGTGGTTCAAGCAGCACTTAACTCTTACTAAGTCTTCAGTTATGTGACTCGAATAGTGTCATGGCATCGCAGTTCACTTCCAAATAAAGCATTGGTGCAAACTACAAAATGGTTTTAAAGCAGTATGAGCTGTTGCTTTGCTAATTGTTGAATCCTAAGATGCCCGAAAGGCTATTTGTTTTGGTTCGTGGATTCTTTTTTGAGAAGAAATCTGGTGCTAAAAGATAGAATATGAATTGGGAGTACAGTAGTGAAGAAGAGAACTGTGTGACCCGATTAGTAGGATGTTTTAGTAACTTAATGTGCAGAGTTAATACTACTGTCAATAACTCACTGGCTTATAAGTTAAAACATAAATGTAGGAAGTATTGCATTTGATTTCTACTATGCTAATGTAGATGTTAATGACTTAAATGCTAAGTGTTACTGTCCTATCTCTTTATCTGAAAAATCCTTAATTCTGTCTGCCTCATCTTAACAAGATAGCTTATATAAATTCAGTAATTTTACAGAGTTCCACATGAAAAATCATTCATAAAACTTAATCTGAGATATTTTTTTGTTTACCCTTGGAAATGAGTAAGATTGATTCTATGCTTCATCTGAGCCTTAGATGTTGGAAAAAGGAATATGAAAACTTGCTCTGCTTAATACCCCCTACAGATGTGCAAGCAATTGTAACTTCATTGGAAGGTAGACATAGTAACTCAAAAGATAATCTTTTTTTCAGTTTTCTATTTGTTACATGAAGCAACCCCGATATTTTAAATTGTCATTTGTATGGTATTTTCTGGCTGGTCTCTACAGTATCTACAGATACTGTGCTTTAGGTGGTGCCTTATCAGTGTCAGTCATATACAGTAGATACTTTCCCTTCTTGAATATTTGCCAAGTCGCCTTTTTGAACAACACTGTTGGTTCATGGTTGCATTCTCTATTTCTGCCCTCCTGTACTTCCAGAACTAATACCTACCCTGTCCCCTGTCGTCTTCCTTGTGCAGTTGATTATTCTCCTGTATGTTAGGTCATTTTGATAGGGACAATACAGTTACTACTGTTTGGAGTGAGATCTCCTGAGTAAGTGAGCTGTCACCACATGATTTCAGAGTCGTCTTCCTCCCAAATGTGGGGCTTTTGACATTGCACCCCCTGTTCCAAGCAGGCTAATTCAGCTTAATAAAGTGGCAAGGATTTTCTTGATGCTGGGTTAGTTTTATGCCAAGCTTATTAAGCAGAAATGAGGAGCCAGTTCAGGACTCCTTAGAATGAGTAAATAAAGCTGTTCTTTTTAGCAGAAAGTTAGGTTGGCTCAGCTGACTCATGAAACCTCGCCCTACTTTAAAAAAGGTACGCAATATTGCAGAATACCTTACAGCAGCAACTAAGAGAACTCTTAATTTGAAGACTATTGTAGTGTAACTTTAGTACATTATCTTCTGAATAGTGCCAAGAAGGATGAGAACTACAGCAATGAGGAAAGCACTCAGCTGATTGCAGCTTACGCAGGTTTTGATGGCTAAACTGTGTTTTTCATATACATCCCTTCTGCTGCTGGTGTTCTGAAATAGGAACTTAAAATGAAGTAAAACTCAACTGAAGCACAAGTGCTAACTGCAGTTCCTTACCATTCAGAATCTCACACTAGATTGTGTGAGGAGAAAAATAATTTAGACTAGTAGTAGTGTAAGTGAAGTTGTCTAAAACTGTTTTATTTCAGTCAACACAGATATATCATCTAAAGCTTTATGACCAAGGCGTTGGCAAGGAAAATCTCAAAATTTTACAAGCATGGAACTTGATGGTTCATATTTTATCAACATACAGTGTTTCATTCAGACTTGTTTCACGACACTTCAAAGTACAGGTGTGACTGGAAAACCTGTTGACCCAATTATATGGAATCCAGTAATTAAAACCGGGATAGTTCGTAAATCAGACAAGTAAGTCAAAAGGTGTGCATAGGTAGTTCAGTGGATAACTACGTGAGGAGGAGCAGGCTGTGTTGAAGGTTCTCTGCTTAGTACTCAAAAGTTACTCTAAGCATGTTTGCTAATCTTGGAATGACCTTTTTTTTATGTGCTTGACAAAGCATAAACAATGTGATAGATGATGAGGTAATAAAGAGGAAACTAGTAAAAAACCACTGGCATCTACAAACTCGTTACAGCAATATCATGAAGTGGGCAAGGTGTGGTTTCTTTACAAAAAAAGTTACTGCTGCTTGCCATACCGAGAACTAATTGAAACCAATATTCTCGGTTATGAAGTCCAAGAATAAGCTACTAAAGACAATCATTTAATGATTCCTTTAACCTGCAAAAGTTGTTAAAGATTTTAGATGTAAAAACTTTTGAAATTATTTAATGTTCTGATTACAGACAACGTTGTTTTTACTTCTTCCAAGGTAACACTTCTGCTAAATAAAGCATGGAAGTAAATAGCACGTAGCGCTCTGCCACTTGGAGGGCCTAAGTTCAGCTTAACGCAGCAGAGTAGAAATTAATGTAGTGGTCACGTAGAGGCAAGTCCACGTTCTCCTTACAGAGGGGGAAGAGGTCCTCATGACTCGGGAAAGCAGAATACAGGCGGATTGGCGAGAGACTGGCAAGCGCACTGTTCCACTTCAGCAAAGGAAACGTGTATTTCGAATGTAGCCGAGTACCAGCAGATGAGAACGACGGGGAAGGTTATTGCTATTTTATAATGGCTGGGCGCTTAAACGTCCCCGTTGTCAGAACAAGTGCCCGGCTTCTGACAAACGCTGGCACCTGCTGACAGGCTGGCTGTCGCTCGCAGGCAGGATGCAGCCATGAAGGCTTCATGCAGCCCTACCTGGGACACTGCTATTTTAACGCTCGCGTAGAGACGCTCCACCGGGGCGGCAGCGGACGCATGGCTCTCCCTACTCACCG